CCAGTGTCCCGCAGATGTATAAATGTAGGCAAGAGGGCCTTGCTGCCAATAAGAAAGAAGGAGCTGTAGAAGATAAAGAAAAGCTCCTCCAGTTGTGGTGGAAGCAAGAAAGGGGGAGAATAAGTAGATACGAAGTACCAGATCTCCTGAGAAATGTCAGATAAGAAGAAGAAGTAGTGCCTACTTTTTTCTGCTCAGTGGTGATATATGCATGCAGACACCAGCCCAGGAAATGTGGAGAAACTCTAATGAATCTCTCTGAGTTGTGTCTATGGTGCTGATTACCACTGTTCTCACAGAAGCCACTTGTATTTGTGATTTGGAGATGTTTTCAGCAGGCAATGAAATATTAGTTGCTATTTAAAAAATGTACCACATAATTGCAGAAGATAGCATGTTCCCATTCCAATTAGAAGTGAATAACTGTAATACCTGCCGGAGCCTTGTGCTGCATCTGTAGATAAATACTGCTCATTGTAAAGGAATCTGTGCGTAGAAAAATGCATAATAGGCTTGTGAATGGTAAGGTTCAGGTGTAAACAACTGAAGCAAGTGAATCAACATTCCATGGAGAAATCCAAGATGAGATGTTTTTCCTAAAAAAGATGCAAAATGTATTGCTAGCAAATTGTGCTCTCCTTTATTGCTTGCATATCAACACGGCAAGCAGAACAATTTCTACCTCAGAAAAGTTTGTCCTCAGCTCTCCATGTTAAATTCACAAAACCATTTGGACGTGGCAATGCTTCATCTTCACCAAAGCCTGTCTTCATACATTAACTGTGCTTGCAGCCATTCTCCAACACTGAGGTCAACTAGCATGAACAGCTCCTATTGACTCCTGCAACTCCTACACAGCATGGCTGTTGCACATTGTTTACTGGGAATGGGAGTGTTCCTGGTAAACATCTAAATTAGCTCATGGCAAATGCTGAGATGTGCCCTAACTGTTAGGTTATGTAGGGGAAATGTAGGGCCTCTTCTCAACATGTACACAGTTTTTTTGACATGTGTAGAGCAGATGGGTGGATTCTGATGATCTACATGTTGAAGGTGGTTGCTGAAAGTGGCAGTGCAGTGACTAAATCCAGGTTTTTTTGTAGATTCAGCCCTTAAGAATTTATGAAAAGCTCCCATTTAATTCCCATCCTAGAATTAGTAGCATCTAATCAGCTTGCACCTATGCTGTGGCAATATGTCAGGTGCCTACAGAGTGTCCGTGAACCAGAAAATGAACTTCAAATCAACTGAAAAATCCCGCTGACTTGCGAATGGAACTACATCTGGACCCTCAGCAAAAATGCAGCCAGTTCAGCTTCATTTCACTCCTGCATTTGGTGAGGTGTTAATAAGGCTAAAAGGGCCAAGTTCAGGGCTTTGATTAAGGAAATACAACTTTACTCTATTTGACAGCACTGCACTTGCCCAGTCTGATTCTGACCCAACATCTTTGTACACCACGATTATGTTGCTTTTCTTCACATGATTGTACAGCGCCAAAAGATCTTTGAAAAAACTTATTTCATAGAAGAGAATAGATATATATATGGGGTATGCCTGCAGGCTTGCAAACAACAGAAATACCTGAAAACCCCTCTGTTCTGCTATTGATCCAAAAGGAGTGCTGGAAACATTACTATGGCAACAATTCTTACCCAGTGGCAGAAGCATGCCATTTTCTGTGCATGGGAACAAAACAAGTGGAGGCGTTTTTCAGAACTGTTTCCCACCTCCCCTTGACCACTATAGATGTGGTGATCTTCTGGCATGAGCTCCTGCTGCAGGAGCTTTCAATGAGATATGACTTACAGAATTACTTATTGGCCCATGCACAGAGAATAAAGACATTCTATCGACCAGCAGAGTCCTGTCACAGAAAACAGCACTGCGAGGAACTCTGGCTTTCTAGTAGTATCAAACATTTTCCTTACCTCGTTAACAACCTGGGTTATCAGTGTGAATAAAAGAGACAAGGCTGGTCTGGCTCACTCTGTGTCATTGTCTATGTAATTTGGCTGTACTCTACTTGAACCTTTCACAAGTACAGTTACTAACTCAGAAGACTACTGAGCATCCAGTTTGTCCATGTTCTTACTGAGTTCAAGCTAAAGGACAAATCTGTTGGCATTATGGTAGCAGTGTTATTTGTTCTATTAATTAGCAACTACACTAATAAAGTCATCAATTTTGCATTATATGGCTAAATTGAAAGTCCACATTCCAGATAGCCTGAAGGCAGAATTGAGAGATAAACATATTCCAGGTGTTTGTAACACTGAAGAAGCTCTGTCTGCTGCTCCTAGCTCCATCTCATCCCCAGTTTCACATGTGGGTAATTTTAAGGAGAACTGTGACTCTGCCCACTGCTCCTAACCCTGGGGAGGGGAGTGATACTGGCTACAAGTCCAGGAAGACTGGTCTTCCTGTAAAAGGCTGTAGAAAGTGATCGTGTGGAAGATGGTGTCAATCAAGGGGAGAAAAGAAGCAGCCTGGAAGAAAGCTTCCAAATACACACTCCCACTGCAGAAGCACTTTATGGTTGTCCTGAGGCTGGGAAGAAGAACAAGCAGCTGCAAGCTCTTTCCAAACTGTTTGTCAGTCCTCTCTGGGCAGCCTGTGGTACAGCCAGCTGTGAGAGCAGTACAAGTAGGTGGAACAGCTCTGCCCACTTGGGAGTTCACTGCTCCTCCACAGAACCACTTAACAGCATGAGCCAGGTGGATATTTCCCATTGCCATTCATTTTGTTATCCCCTTTTTTATGAAAACAGAAAAATAAGAAAGCTCAGAAAAAGAAACAGAGAGAGCAGAAGGTAAGACTCTAGAAACAGACCAAGACTAATCCCTAGTATGTGAAGTACAAGCAAGGAATGGAAAAGTTAGTGCTACTAACTAATAATGTTGAGAAAATACACAAAATGCCATCCAGCTGTTTACTAGGGCCCAGCCTAAGAAGCTGAGTTCTTGCTTATTCTGTAGAAATGGTAAAGATCTGTTTCTTCTAGAGAAGTATGTAGCCCTGCTGTTTCTGGAAATTATTCACCTTTCCTTCATGTTAACTATGTCCTGCATCCTATCACAAGTCACAGTGGCACAGAACAGATGTGCATCTTTGTGTATATATATTAATACTTTACATCTGCATAAGTATATATAGGAAAGTGTGTTGAAAATGTCTTGATGAAAAAAAAACCAACTCACAACTAAAATACACAGTTTATTTAACCTATATGGGAAATATTTTTTCCCTCCCTAGAGACAGCTGGCTTTATTCAATATTGACAGATACAGAATAGGAGCTATTATTAAGGACATAATTACTATTTTGACAACATCAACTTCGACAGCTTCATGAACTTTATTGAATAATCACAGAATCATAGAATGCATTGGGTTGGAAGGGACCTTTAAAAGTCATCTTGTCCAGCCCTCCTGCAGTGAGCACGGACCTATATAACTAGATCAGGTTGGTCAGAACCATATCAAGTCTGACCTTGAATGTCTCCAGGGACTGGGCCTCTATTGAGTTCGTTTCTCATCACTTGGTAGTCTCCCATTTCTTCAGCTTTCTCTGCCTTCAATATCTGAGAGCCTCCCAAGTATTTCATAAAAGTAATCATCTCTCTTCTAGCCTTTACAGAAGTAGCTTGATCAGTTCAAGCAATTTTCTTCCATGTTTGCTGTTGGACATGTGAGAACAAGTATCCTGGGAAGAAATTGTTAAAGAAAGGCTAAGTCAAACAGGTAAGATACAAGGCTAGTCTAAAATGCAGGGAAATTATCTGGATGAGTGCACCCTCAGTCAGTTTGCAGATGACACAAAGTCGAGTGGGAGTGTTGATCTGTTTGAGGGTAGGAAGGCTCTACAGCTGGACCTGGAGAGGCAGGATTGATGGGCCGAGGCCAATTGTAGGAGGTTCAATAAGGCCAAGTGCTGGGTCCTGCATTTTGGTCACAACACCCCCAGGCAACACTGCAGGCTTGGGGAAGAGTGGCAAACTGCCCAGAGAAGAAGGACCTGAGGGTTCACAGCCAGCTGAACGTGAGCCAGCAGTGTGCCCAGGTGGCCCAGCTGGCCAACAGCATCCTGGCTTGTATCAGGAATAGTGTGACCAGCAGGAGTAGGGACATGATTGTCCCCCTGTATTCAGCACTGCTGAGGCTGCACCTCAAATACTGTGCTCAGTTTTGGGCCACTCACTACAAGAAGGACATGGAGGTGCTGGAGCATGTCCAGAGAAGGGCAACAAAACTGGTGAAGGGTCAAGAGCACAAGTCTTATGAGGAGCAGCTGAGAGAACCAGGCATGTCTAGTTTGGTGAAACGGAGGCTGAGGGGAGCCCTTACTGCTCTCTACAACTACCTGAAAGGAGGCTGTAGGGAGGTGGGTGTCAGTCTCTTCTCCCAAGGTACTAGTGATAAGACAAGGGGAAACAGCTTCAAGTTGTGCCAGGGGAGGTTTAGATTGCCTATTAGAAAAAAATTGCACCCCACTGCAAGGGTTGTCAAGACACTGGAACAGGCTGCTCAGGGAAGCTGTGGAGTCATCACACCTGGAGGTATTAAAGAGGTGCGTAGATGTGGTGCTGAGGGGGATGCTTTAGTGGTGGGCCTGGCAGCGTGCTGGGTTAAAGGTTGGACTCCATGATCTCAAAAGTCCATTCCAATCAGAATGACCCCGTGATTCCATGAAAGCTCTGTCCATTTTCAGCTCCCATGGAAGCAACCTTCACCCATCTCGGGTCCAGCTCTGCGCCCGCAACCAACCAACCCCCCGCTGCCCGTGTTCCTTTCCTCTGGAGAAATGCAATTGCTGCTGGAAGTCCTGCTCACCGAGGAGGAAGCTCTTGCACAGACAGCCCGGGACATCTGCAGAGGCTTTCTGAACACCAAAGCAGAGCCCAGAGCAGGGATCCTGTATAAAACGTGGGAGCAGGGCTGACGGGCACTGCTTTTGGGTGGTGGGGATGCTGATTGCAGGCAGGCTCTGACCTCCTCTACCTGCTGGCCCGGCATCCCAGGTGCGATCAGAGCTGCTGTCCAGTGACACACCTGGCTGCTCCTTGCGGGAACGCGGGTGCATTCCTTCCCTTGACGCGGGAAACCCAGGGAAGTCCGCTAAGAAACTGGGGTCAGCCGGGAAGGTTCCACCTAAACCGGGCTTCGGAGAAGAACCAGACGCTTTGGTCGCGAATGTGACCGCTGGGGACGGTCCCGAACAGCCGGCGGGGCTGCGGGTCCGGTTGTGACGCCGCGGGGTGTCCCGGGCGCGGCGATGGCGGGGCGGGCGGTGCTGCGGGAGGTGCTGCTGCGG